CTCTTCAGGATTTGACCATCCCCTTTCTGACCGCACCATAGGGCTCAGGATGACACAGTCAGCAAACTGATGCCATCTATTTGCGTCTTCATTCGATGGTAGTGCTGGGAAGCCAGGAAGCAGACAATAGGCTTCCAGATCTCTCCACAAACAGTCATTAGTGTTTTATATGCTTGAAATATGTTGCTGTTATTATTATTATTATTGCCTCTATGGCTTGACACCCAATCTTAATGGGCTCTGATGTTATTTTGGTATAATAGCCTCGCAAGAGGTCATCAACCAAAGCGGAATGTGTCACAAGTCTCCCCAGTTTACGTCGTGATGGGTTGGAGGTTGTGGGAAGCTGGAAGGTGGACTTCTTCTGCTCTAGTTTTCCCAATTTATCTGTGACAGACCTAGCTGGCTAGTAAAAAATGCTAATTTTGTGTGGCAGTTGGGAGGTCCACTTTTTTTAAAAAAAACAAAACCCAAAACCAAAAGGTATCAGCATTTCCACTCCATGTCCATTCCAAGTCCATTCCTGTGTGTTGTCTGAAAGTTAATCCTTTGTTTGTGGGGAGTGGGACACCTAGCCTTCAGCAAGTATTCCTGTCAATGAACGCCCATTGCCACCAAGGACAGGCTCCAGACTATTTCAGGGGTCAGCAAACTTTTTCAGCAGGGGGCCGGTCGACTGTCCCCCAGACCTTGTGGGGGGCTGGACTATATTTTGAAAAAAAAATAATGAACAGATTTCTATGCCCCACAAATAACCCATTTTATTTTATTTTATTTATTTATTTTATTTATTTTAAATTAAAGGACACATTCTACTCATGTAAAAACACGCTGATTCCCGGACCGTCCACGGGCCGGATTGAGAAGGCGATTGGGCCGGATTCGGCCCACGGGCCTTAGGTTGCCTACCCATGATTTAAATGTTGCAGCAGGTGAGCTTCATGCTATCTTCAAGATAGCATGATTACACGTTTCTCAGTAGCGGATTACACGTTTCTCAGTAGCGATAGTATCTAGTCATGAGAACTGGATTGCACGGCTGACAAGGATCATATATTTAAAACATGGGTAGGCAACCTAAGGCCCGGGAACCAGATGTGGCCCAATCACCTTCTCAATCCTGCCTGTGGATGGTCCGGGAATCAGCGTTCTCTGGGTTATTTGTGGGGCATAGTTCATTTCTTTTCTTCCAAAATATAGTCCGGCCCCCACAAGGTCTGAGGGACAGTGGACCGGCCCCCGGCTGAAAAGGTTTGCTGGCCCCTGATTTAAAACGAAAAGAGAACGGAGGTCTTATATGTGTTTAGCTTCTATATGCTTTGGAGTCCATACCTTCCAACATTTCTCTGATGAAAATAGGGACATCCTAGGGAAAAGCGGGACTTTCCTGAATCAAATCAGAAACCAGGGCGGTTTCTGTAGATCTAGGACTGTCCCTGGAAAATAGGGAGACTGGGAGATTCTCAGAGTCTCTGGTTTTGTTAACGCTTCTCTCCCACCACCACTGGAACACAGTTGCTTTCAATTCAAACCACTCTGAGGTGACGGTTTGGTTGTTAGTTAGTTAGTTTCTTTTACAGTTAGGCAGTATATAATTTTAGCAACCAAGGGGGCGCAAAGGAAAAGGCTTGGCGAGGGTTGTGGCTGAGGTGTGAATACATTTCTAAGCTTCATACCCCATGAGGACTGGAATCTTGTTTTGAAATGAAACAAAAATGGGGAACCTCTCACCAGTCCATTGCACATTCCTAGCTCTGTGTGCATATGCTTCGCAAATCTCCTAATTTGCAAGCCAGTTGGTTCTTCCTGCTGTGTTTATGCCTTGGTGATGTTTCTTTCCAATCATCATTGATGTTTTGGCCTTCGCGGTTTGAAACATCACAAAAGCAGCATTTGAACAACTTCAGTAGGAGTTTTAAATCTGATGGAAAATCTAAGATAGAATAAATAACATTAAAGCCAAAATATGCTATACAGTAGTACCTCGGGTTACAGACGCTTCAGGTTACAGACTCCGCTAACCCAGAAATATTACCTTGGGTTAAGAACTTTGCTTCAGTATGAGAACAGAAATCATGCAACGGCGGCACGGCAGCAGCAGGTGGCCCCATTAGCTAAAGTGGTGCTTCAGGTTAAGAACAGTTTCAGGTTAAGAACAGACCTCTGGAACGAATTAAGTTCTTAACCTGAGTTACCACTGTAATATGGCAGTGAATAATGGATGAGAAATAGAAGGAGTAGACAGGAAGTCAGGTATATAGGAAAAAGTCATTTTTATGTTAAATGCATTGTGAGTAATATTTAATGTATTGGTGTTGTTGTTTATTTGTATCTTCTTTTTAGTTATTAGGAGGTGATGGATATTTGTGTATCTTCATATTTTCTTTCTGTATGCGGTGTATTAAAATGAAATAAAAACTTTATAAAAGAAAGAAAAAGAAACATCACAAAATCAGAACACACACACACACACACACATGGCATCTGGCCTAGACTTCAGCGTCTTGAACACATTTTTTCTACATTTGGATGCTAAGCATGTGCCTTTGCCATGTTTTGCTTGTCCCTCAGTGGTGGACCATTTGGGCAGGCGCTTCGGAAGCAAACCAGTCCAACTGCCTGCACTCCTGCCTTGAGTCCGATGGAAACAGTTGATTAAATGGGAAGGAATGAGGCCCATAAATGTATGTAGCAAGCGGAACCATTGGGAACATCCTCATTTTTATTTTTATTTTTAACTCTGGTGTTCCTAAACAGGAGCGCTGTTCCCATACAGCAATTTGAGCTGTGATGCATGTGAGTTAAGTATGAGTTAGCTGCTAACAGGTGTCATGCCACGCACATTCCTACCCATGAGGTGGCTCGGGAAACGGGTATAAAAGCCCTCAACTCTCGGGGTTCCACCAAACACTCTTCTGGACTTCAGCTCCTCAGAGATCAAGGTAACGTAGTCCTGCTGGGGAAATATTCTGAATCTGGATCTGTGCTGTTAGAATTGCAGTTTTAAAAATGTGTTCGCTAGGAGAAAAATAGTTCTAGGAGAAGGGCCATAGAGCAGCTTGGGCAACCCAACCAGATGAGCGGAGTATAAATAATACTATTCTTATTCTTAACAGAGTACCTCCACTGTTAGAGACAATATGCTTCTGAATACCAGTAGCAGGAAACTGTAGGGAGGGAGAGTTGCTGTTGCACTCAAACTGCTTGCAGTTTTCTCACTGGCAACTGGTTGTCCACTGTGAGGACACAATGCTGAACTAAATGGGGCCCCTTTGGCCTCCTCCAACTGCCTCTTCTCATGTTCTTATGCATAAGGCTCCAGGTTCAACTCCCAGCATGAGGACTAGAATCTTTCTCTTAGGGGATGGGACATGGTGTGCACTTTTTCATGCAGAAGGCATCCCCAGTAGGGCTGGGAAACCCCCCTATCTGAAGCTCTGGAGAACCACCATCAGCCAGTAGAGACAACGCTGAGCTGGATGGACCAAAGTTCTGACTCAGTAGAAGATCTTATGTCAAAGGCTGGGGATAAACCATTAGTGAGCACCATGAGTTCATTTCATTGCTTCAGGAAGTAATGGCGGCCACCAACTTGGATGGCTTGAGAAGGGGATTCAGCATATGGGTGGGAAATCAGGCTATCAGGGGCTATTAGCCATGGTGGCTATGTTCTGCCTTCACCACCAGAAGCAGCGTTTCGGGACTCACAAGAGGGAAGGGTGCTGTTGTGCTGAGATTCTGCTTGTGGTCTCCCTGCTGGAACCAGGTTGTCCCTTGTGACAGCACAATGCTGAACTAGACAAGGCTCTTTTCATGTCCTGGTGGTGGAAGTTTGAGGTTTTGTGGGTGTTTACTTGGCTTCTCAAGCCATGCCTTGTTTAGCTTTGGCTCCTAGCCTGCCCTGCTTATAAAGCAGAACTAATGACAAGGCATCTCTGGGATTTATAGCCATGCACATCAAGATGAAAGCACAAAAACTGGTTCCTTAAATGTCAGCCTGGGCTTTCATGAGTGTTTGTGGAGTGGGTAGGAGGTTGGGCTAAGAACTTCCTCTATGGGATGAGAGGCAACTCAATTGGTTGATGATAATTCAAGGACAGAGATGGTGTAGAGGTCTGACAGCGAACGACTAAAGCCTCGCATACCCAAACACAGCTTCCTACCAGAAACATCCTCCCAGGGGATGTGATTGGCAGAGAGGGTCCTCTTGATAGTTCCTCCACCCCAGAGGCTCAGAGGGTGGCAGCCCAGTGAGGGCTTTTTCTGTGGTGGCCCCTAAGCTGTGGAACTCCCTCACCACAGAGGTGTGTCTTGCATCTTCATGAAACAACATTTGCAGAAGGCTGAAGATGTGCCTCTTTGCCCTGGCTTGTGACACTCGAGGTGCACATTTTTAGGACACACCTTCTTTTTTATTGAAAATCATTCCTAATATTATGTTTTAATGTTGTAACCTGCCCCGAGATCTTAATGTGGAGGGTGGATAAATCATCACCATCACCATAATCACCATGGATTTTCGGGAAAGGGTCAGGAGCTTTCCATGGGCTCCTTTTAAGCATACAGCCACTTCCATGAGGTCTAGAAGCATTATTTATCAGTTTGGTTCCTGAAGTGGCTGAGATGCTTTAACGATCTCTGAACTTTGTATGTGCTCCTTTCAGAATGCTCACAAAACCCAAACCCTGTGCCTTAGACACCCATAACCACCGGGACCTGGAAGGCCGCAATCTCATTCTCCCCTTAGGCCTGAGGTTCCCCACTGCGGAGTTTGCCAGTTCGTTTGAAAATGTCTGTACAGGGGGAGAGAAAGGGTTAATATGTAGACCAATAGGAAAGCCGGAGGCGGAGCCTACCTGTTTATAAAAGAGCTTAGCCCGAGGTTTGGGTAGTGGGTAGTTGGTTGGTTTTAGTGGGTTGGTTGGTTGGGAAAGGCAGTTGGAAAAGCAGTTGGCAGGCAGCTGGAATTAGAGAGACAGTTAGTTTGGTTAGTTCTTGTTTGAGGGGAGGTAGAAGAGTTTGAGACAGGATAAAAATAAGTCTAAGAAGGTAAAGAGTAACAATGTTTGGAATGCAGTTAAAGTTCATTTGTGTCTGCAATAAACTACACTCTTCGTTAACTTAAGAACCTGACTAAGAGATTTACCAGGGAGGACCTGGTTGGAGGCACCGTATTAGTGGTGTACGGGTCAATGGTCCGTGAGACAACCGGGGGCTCCATACGAACGCCCACCCACCCTTTGTTGAGACCCTGCATTGAGTGACTTGGCCTTTGAAATCCCTTGCAATACCACAATTCTAATCCGGCTCCTTTTGCTTCACAGTACTTTGCTTTCCAAATCCACCACCACTACCCGCACGATGACTTGTGGCTACGGAAACTGCTGCAGCCCCTGTGGCTCCGGAGGGTGGGGCTATGGAGGCTACGGCGGCAACTGCTGTGGTAACAGATGTGGCAGTGGCTATGGAGGCTATGGAAGCTACGGAGGTTATGGCGGCAACTGCTGCAGCAACAGATGTGGCGGCTACGGAGGTTACGGAGGTTACGGAGGCTACGGAGGATACGGCAGCAACTGCTGTGGTAACAGATGTTGTGGTGGCTACGGAGGCTACGGAAGCTACGGAGGCTACGGAGGTTATGGTGGCAACTGCTGCGGCAACAGATGTGGCGGCTATGGAGGCTACGGAGGTTATGGCGGCTACGGTGGCAACTGCTGCAGCAGCAGATGTTGTGGCGGCTGGGGATGGTAATTCTCCCTCACCTACACGAGAAGCATCTGAGCAAAGGACTTGCCTCCAACACTAGCCCTACTCAGAGTAAACCCAATGAAGTGAACAGACACAGCCAACTTAGGCTCATTCATGCCAGTGGGTCTACTATGAGCAGGGCTTGGTTGGATACAGCTCAAGGTTTTTCTCCAAGTTGAGTTTCCTGGAAGGTCCCTGATTAGGGTCTTCGAGGGTCTCAGTCTCCAGCTCAGATGCCTGCCTTTCCCCTGCTGTTCCTCACTGTTGCTTCCTCATCACTCCACCCTGTATGGTTTGGTCTTCTCCACAAGAGGACATCCATCCCCTTCCTCATCCCCTTTGTACCTTCCTTCCTACCTCTTCCAAATTAAATACCATACTGCATCAGAACCAATGTCTACTGAGTTTTCATTTCCACTCTGTCTTCCTTTGAATCTAGCTGAAATTCCCGATTTGCAGCGGTTGGGTTTCATGGAATTCTACTCAGTATTGATCCAGAGCAGATTCCAGTGTGTAGTTAGCAGAGTAACAACTTAACACATTGCAGGATTCCCCAAAAATTAGACCAGAGGCAATTATTATTTCATCCAGCAGAGCTTTACTGCGACTGAAGGCAAATGAGCATAATGATCACAAATCCATATACATTCAGGATTGGCACTGTCCATAAGAAATCCAGTTGCAGCAGACTTCACTTAAACTACAATAAGTTATAATAAGCCTAAACCTTAACAATAAGCATACTATGTACAGAACACCACAATAGAAGGAAAAGAGATAGATAGTGAAAGTGAAACCCAGGATTCTTCTCACCCTACTTTTATAGCCAACATGACCTTGACAGAAAGAGATAATGTAGCAAAACCAGCATTGGCTGAAGGAAAGAAGTCCACGCCGCTATGGAGAAACTCAGAAAGTTGATTGTAAAGTACTTGCTAGCAAGTTGACTCAGAGGAATAATTTCCAAAGTCTGAGCCGTGAACGCAGGGCTCAGCAAATATTTATAGGACTTTTTACGTCATAACATGTAAGAGAACATTCAGCAAATTAGAATCTAACACCCTTCTTTACCTGGATAAAAACCATAAGGCACATGTTGAATACCGTTAACTCCTTTTATGGCTCATCCTGTACCATGATGACTATGCAAGCAATTCAAGGAATTGGCAGGGCTTTGATCTATGCAAGAAATACTAAGAAATGGCAGGCCATATCACAAAAATGCACGCCATGAGTCTAGGTTAGATGGCTCAATAACAGAACCAGTTTAAGCCAGCTGTACTCAGCTTCTCTGAAGGAATAACCCAAACATCAGGAACCTTCTGCTTGTTTCTTTCACACAGAGAAGCTTCCAGAACCCTCTAGAATTAAGTAGAATAGGAAAGATCTCTGCACATCAGATCAATACTTTCTGCCCTAAGAAATGCAAACTGACAAGATGGCGCTTGGGATCCCTTCCGACTCTACATTTCCATAATTCATGTGACATAAAAGCCACTTCTGGAAATAGAATGAAATATAGCAGTGGCGGACTGTGAGGTCTTAAATTTCAGCGACGCCCCATGCAGTGCCAAAATTTGCCCTTATGACTCTCATCTTCCACTATACATCATAGTTGTGGTGCCCCCTGCAGCATCCCTGTGCCCAGTGCAATCAAACCGGCCAGGCTCTGTTAAATCCACCTCTGAATACAACACATACGACAACTCCAGCTATGAAGGAAGAAGAGTTTGGATTTGATATCCCGCCTTTCACTCCCTTTAAGGAGTCTCAAAGCGGCTTTCCCTTCCTCCCCCACAACAAACACTCTGTGAGGTGAGTGGGGCTGAGAGACTTCAAAGAAGTATGACTGACCCAAGGTCACCCAGCAGCTGCATGTGGAGGAGCGGAGAAGCGAACCCGGTTCCCCAGATTACGAGACTACCGCTCTTAACCACTACACCATGCTGGAACCATCATGGCCAGCGTTCAAGCTTGATGAGTGTTGCAGTGCAGAAACATCTGCAGGGCACCAGAATCCCTTCTTCTCTTCTCCTCTGACAGACAGTGGTTTCATTGGGTTTTTAGGCAGGGGTCGAACCTGGGAACTTCTACATGCAAGGCAGATTCTCCACCACTGAGCTGCAACCTCTCTCTTCCACCAGATGACAAAAAGTCACCAAGCGATGAGTGAAGTGACTGTCCCAGACCACAGCAGTTCATTAATAGAATCATAGAATTGGAGAGTTGGAAGGTTCCCCAAGGTTCATCTAGTTCAGCCTTTCTCAACCTGTGGGTCCCCAGATGTTGTTGGACTACAACTCCCATCACCCCTAGCTAGCAAGGCCAGAGCTCAGGGATGATGGGAGTTGTAGTCCAACAACATCTGGGGACCCACAGGTTGAGAACCACTGATCTAGTCCAACCCCCTGCAATGCAGGAATCTCAGCTAAAGCCTCCATGACAGATGGCCATCCAACCTCTGCTTAAAAACCTCCAAGGAGGGAGAGTCCACCACCTTCCGCTGTCAAAGTTCTTCCTGATGTTTACTCAGAATCTCCTTTCTTGCAACATGAAGCCATTGCCTTAAGTCCTATGCTCCAGAGCAGTTCCCTCTTCCATGTGACAGCCTTTGAGATATTTGAAGATGACTATCCTATCTTGAAGGGACGCGGGTGGCGCTGTGGGTAAAAGCCTCAGCGCCTAGGGCTTGCCAATCAAAAGGTCGGCGGTTCGAATCCCCGCGGCGGGGTGCGCTCCCGTTGTTCGGTCCCAGCGCCTGCCAACCTAGCAGTTCGAAAGCACACTTAAGTGCAAGTAGATAAATAGGGACCGCTTACTAGCGGGAAGGTAAACGGCATTCCGTGTGCTGCGCTGGCTCGCCAGATGCCGCTTGTCACGCTGGCCACGTGACCCGGAAGTGTCTGCGGACAGCGCTGGCCCCCGGCCTCTTGAGTGAGATGGGCGCACAACCCTAGAGTCGGACACGACTGGCCTGTACGGGCAGGGGTACCTTTACCTTTTTATCCTATCTTGAAGTGAAGGCACAAGACAGGAGTTGATCATCATGTGAGCTGTGCACAGGTGGGCTGAAGCAAGCTGCTGACCAGTCCTGTGGAGCCTCCTTTTATTGAGACAAATATGCAAGCTAGGCAGATACATTTTGGACTGTGACCTTTACACATCTTCCGTCCGAGATCGTGGGGTGGTACAAAGTTATTTTGGCACCTGTTTCCACCGCGTCATTTTCCCCTTGCACAGTGTATGACGAAGGAGACAAAAGGTCTCAGAGACAAAAGGTTACAGACAGGACACCGCCCACTAATGAGACCGCAAAAGGTTCAGACAGAGGGGATGATGTTCCAACAGCCGTGGCTTGTCTGAGGGGGGGTGTACCCCGCACCCCAGGGTCACGCGTGCAGGCAGACTGTGGCTGCCTGCTGGTGGGGAGTGTGCTCCCTCCGGACCCCACTGCCCACTCCGCGATATCCCTACACTATCTCCTCTCAGTCTCCTATTTCCCAGGCTAAACATACCCAGCTTCTTCAACTGTTCCTCATCAGGCTTGGTTTTCAGACCCTGGATCATCTTGGTCGCCCTCATCTGCACACAATCCAGATTGTCAACATCCTTCCTAAATTGTAGCGCCCAGAATTGGACACAGAATTCCAGTTGTGGTCTGACCATCCCACTATTCCATCCACCATTTCCCAAACTGTTGATTTCTATCTTTTATTTGTTTGAAACAAAATAAAAAAAATCCTTCCAGCAGCGCTGGAACAACTAAGTTTGTTACTGGTGTGAGCTTTGATGTGCATGCACACTTCTTCAGGTATTTATTTGTTTGTTTATTAAAACTATTAGTCACTTGCCATCTGAAGAGCTCTAGGTTTAGGGTTGCCATATGTCTAGTTTTTCAACCTCAACTTTGATGTTGATTTCCCAATTTTTTGTGCGTGGACTTTTACTTCTTGAAATATGGCAACTATATCTAAGTGACTTGTATTAAATAAAAATATATGCACATGTGTCAGGGAACTGACATCAGAGTGAGAAGCGGAGGCAGGGCTCCCGAGCGATGCCGGAGAGGGGACCAGCATGGGGGAAGGAATTCAAGGTAACACCAATAGAGAAGAGAGGGAGATGGAGGAATTGGAGACAGGGCTCCAAGACCCTTCACCCGAAACTAGTGGAGAGAGCGCTGGCACGCCCCTGCCTTCCCCTTACTTGCGCAGACGCGTTCTGCGCAGGGAACATAGGAGGAGACTCGGGGTCAAACAGCTTTTATGCTGGAAGAGGTTCAAGAAACGCCCACTGACGGATTCTGCAAGTGACTAACAGGTCACGGAGGGCGAGCTCTGACCCTAAGCATGGTTGGGCAAGCAAGCTAACTACATCTCAGGCCATTTACGCACAAGTAACCCCTCACAACCATTACAACATGCATAATAACATAGGAGGAAGAGCTGGGGATCATATAATACATTAGCATTTCATATACAAGACTGTGGTGGTGTTTCTCCATAAGCTGTATTTCATATACAGCTTATGGAAAAACAACACCACAGCCTTGTAAACAGTAGCAAGCAACAATAAAGGTAAAGGTACCCCTGCCCGTACGGGCCAGTCTTGACAGACTCTAGGGTTGTGCGCTCATCTCACTCTATAGGCCGGGGGCCAGCGCTGTCCAGAGACACTTCCGGGTCACGTGGCCAGCGTGACAAGCTGCATCTGGCGAGCCAGCGCAGCACACGGAAACGCCGTTTACCTTCCCGCTAGTAAGCGGTCCCTATTTATCTACTTGCACCCGGGGGTGCTTTCGAACTGCTAGGTTGGCAGGTGCTGGGACCGAGCGACGGGAGCGCACCCCGCTGCGGGGATTCAAACCACCGACCTTTCAATCGGCAAGTCCTAGTCGCTGAAGCTTTAACCCACAGCGCCACCCGCGTCCCTAGCAAGCAACAATAGATATATCCAAAAAAATAGACAAAGCAATTCCGCCCTCCCACTAATTAGCAAATAAACAAAACCTCTATCCCTTACCGAAACCAAAAACCTTTCACACTGAACCAACAATTTCCCCACCCCACTCAAAAGTCTGACATGGGGCCAGGTGGGTCCAGCGTTCTCTTCCATGGATGGTCCAGCATCTTGCCTCTCCCTTCAAGGAGGAACAAGAGCAAAGAAATGGTGTCAGAAGTTTTACCTGACGTGCAGTTGTCCTGGTTACGGCTTCTCTCCTGCAGCTGAGATCTGCTTGTGAGGATCCTGAGGCCTTCAAAGTTGTGGCTGCCATAAGATGGGACCAAGTACCTCCATTAGAAAACTGTATCCATACCTAATTAAAGTGCCTCACTTGCTCAATTATTTGACCATCTAG